CGGGACACATGCACACAATGTGTACACCGACACACACCGACACACACACACACACGCGCTTCAGTGTTTTGAGAACGTTGAAGATGAGAGAGAAATTTAGATGAAAGACTGTTTTATTCTTTTTCTCTCAGTTGCCTCGAGTCGAATGGCTTCAGGCAACAGAAACACACATGTTTCTGTAACGTGTGTGTGTGTGTGTGGGGGGGGGGGGTCCATCGTGCTCTGATCTTGGGTTCTGATTTTACAGATGCTGAGAAACGAGAGGCGCTTGTTCGCTCTCTAATGAGGTTGTTAACGTTGACGGGGTGCGTTTGATTTCCACTCTGTGACCAAACGGAGGTCAGACTCATTACAGCAGGAAGCTGCTCTCTGCGGGGCCACAAAACTGCAGCTCTCATGAAACACATGCTCCCCTCACAGCCAGAATCACCTCGTTAGGAAACGGTCTGATGGGTCTTGGTGGGCTTCATAGAGTCTCAGCTCGGGTTTCTGTCAGCTCCAGTTCTGATTCATCATGAGCCAGCAAACAGTTGGCGCTGGAGCTAAAACACAAAAAGGAAGCATCTCAGGTGTGTCCAAAACCACACACAAGTTCACAAACTGAGGGCTTCAGAGGAACTTCATATAATTAGTTTGGAACAAACCAATGAGAAAGTGTTGATCTTTCTTACTACCTGAATGAAGCGGACATGTTTTGTGTTTTCAATCAGCTTCACTCTGTAACATCATTCAGTCCTGCATTTAGTCCAAGAAGACTCTGAGTGAGGGTCATGAACTGAAATTAGACTCAAAAAGGCTGAGCTGAATCCAGACCTGGTCTAAAAGTCTCCGGTTTTGCGTCTGTGACCATCAGATGTCCTCAGGCTGTGAGACAAAAATCATCAAACTGATTCAAAACAAAGTTCCTCACAGAAAGACAGGACTCGTCTACAGAACATCACAAAACTAGTCCAAGAATCTGGACAAACTTTAGGGATCCAGTCTAAAGTGGACTGCCAGGATCTCCAGTGGACCATAGAGAAAATGGTGCAACCAAATTGTTGTCAGCAACGAGTCCAGAAACCTGGTTTTGTGATGGACGGAGGGACGGATAGATGAAAAGTTCAGAGCTGGACTTTGAAAGAAAACGACTGGAAGAAGGTCTCGCTCCAAATGTCCAGCCTTCCTTCAGATGGAACCTTTATCAGATGAGACGACGATAAACCACCAGTAACCCAGGAACACTTCACTCAGTGCTCAGCATGGCGGTGGCAGCATCATGCTGTGGGCCTGCCTGGCTGCACATAGACAACATGGAAGTGGTCTGTGTTCAATTCAACCTTTATTTCTACAGGTTAGTCTCACTGAGCCTCCAGGACTCATTTAAAGAGACCAGATTTAACAAAGAACACAGATGAGGAACAGACAATCATAAAATGTCAAATAAATGGAAGAAATTATATAAAATGAATCTAAAACAGCTAAATTATAAAGCGATATAGAAAACTAAAAACAGGAACATGTCTTTGTTGGTTCTTGCAGGAACTTATCATATGTTTGAGACCATTTAAAGAGGTCAAGGTCGAGAGCTTCAGGTCTTTTTACAAGATATTCCAGGAAACAGGAGCGGAGTAGGAGAAGGTCCTTTTGTCTAGTTCAGTCCTCACTGAGGGAACACTGCAGGTAATAATGTCCTGAGAGCGCACGCTGTGGTGGTTCTGGGCTCTGATCAGGGTTTGTGTTGGACTAACTAGATTTTGTCTGAACACTTTTGAGAACCCAGATTATGGACACTGATGTTGGACAAAACGTTGTTGGACAAAACTTTGTCATCCTTGAAACATGAGCTGCAGAGACATATTTTCATGGACATTGTCTCGTCTGATACAGGAAGTGTGACATGTCCATCATGGCTGACAGGATTGATTTATCTGCCTTTTGTTCTATTTCGTATAGGCTTCGCCCTTTAAGGCTGTCGCTTGTGGGTTTTATCCCGTCACGCAAAGTGTTGCACTAAAAAATTTAGTCCACGCCCACCTGTCGTGTGGGCCCCACCTGGTCCGTATAAATTACGTTGAGAGCGGGTAATCGGCTCCCATTTTTCTTCAGCAAGCAATTAGCACTGATCTTCCAACAACGCGATGTCCAGCACCAACACCCTCCGCCTGTGCCCGTCCTGCAAGACCGGCTACATGCTGAGCTTTGACCGGCACGACACCTGCGAAGGATGCCTAGGTCCCCGCCACGCCGACCTTGCCTCCTCCTGCTGCCTCTGTGACCTCCTCCCCACTGAGGAGAGGCAGAGGCAAGCAGTCTTGTTTAAGGCTAACATCGAGGAGTGCCTCTCCGTGGCGGGGGACTGCTCGCTGGATGACGCCATTGACTTTTTTGATGCCGGGTCTCGGAGAGAATCGGATGGTTCCTCCGGGACAGGCGACGTCAGCAGCAGCCCCGCTGCTCATTCCCTCCCAGAGAGCGTAGTATTGGAACGGGAGGGGCCGAGCGGATGCTCCCCCCTCCCGGGCCTTTCCGCATCAGCGACCACACCGCTCCCAGCCGTCGGTGCCCTCCTCTCGGAGCTGCCTGGCATAATCCAGGAGGCGGCTGACACGAAGGGACTTTCCGTCCCTCGCCTCCCCCTGCTCAGATCAGATGATCTAGCAGGAAGGTTTGGCTCCACCCCGGCTCGCCGCCCTGACCCCATCTGGCCTCGTTTCCCAGCAGTGACATCCTACTGGAATGAGGCTGCGGCCAGACCTGGTAAATTGAGAGTGCCCGTCTCCACCTTCATGCCCATCACCAGAGTGTAGGGGTTTACTGAGCGGAATTTTCCTTTGGTAGCCCCCCTGGAGCCAAGCCTGGCGGAAGCTCTCAGAGTAAAAGTGTCCAGGTTGGACCAGCGTCCTGTTCCTCCATGGAAGCACGACCAGACGGTGACGTCATGCTCCAACCGAGCTCACCAGTGTGCGTTCCAGGCGGCCGCAGTGATCAACAATGTCGCTCTGCTGGCCTACAGCATCTCAAAGAGGCTGGAGGAAACAGACCTGCCTGAAGAGACAAAGAGCTCACTCTGTAAGGCATCTGACGTCATCCTCAACCTGTGCGTCTCCTCTGCTGTCTGCCTGTCTCGCATCAACGCCTGGATGACAATTGTCCAGAGGTCCACCTGGCTTCGACACTCCCCCTCCTTGCCTGAGAAACTGCAGAAGGACCTGCTGGAGGGCCCCATCGTGACAGATGCGCTGTTCGGAACCAATTTCAAGGCCGTGCTGGAAAAATCTAAGAAGTTGGAGGAGGTGTCGGAGACTGTGTGCTACCTGACACCTGATGAAGCCGCACTCGCTCGGAGTACGTCTCTGCAGCACATGACGGCGGTGGAGGCCTTGACTTGGCTGGCGTCCGTAAAAGACATGACAAAACACAAAAACGTGTGCCCGCTCCCAGAGCGTTAGGCGAAGTGGCAGCGAGCATGCTCCCTGAACAGCTGGATGAATTGTCTTATCAGCAAGGGTTACACGCTGCAGTTCGCAGCTCAACCCCCACTGTTCAGAGGGATTATAGAGACGGTTCTGTCATCTTCAGAACAGATCTCATCCCTTCATGCAGAAGTTCAGGAACTACTGGTAAAAAATGTAATTTCCAGGGTTCTCAACGGAGAGGAAAACATAGGGTTTTACTCACGTTACTTCCTGGTTCCGAAACGGACCGGAGAGATGAGTTCCATCTTAGATTTATCCATTTTCAACAAGTCGATTATGGAGAGACAGTTTCACATGTTGACAACCAGACAGCTGTTGAACAACATTCACCAGAACGACTGGTTTATCTCCATCGATCTCAAAGACGCTTATTTTCACATTCCAATCATTCAAAAGCACAGAAAGTTCCTGCGCTTCTCCTTCCAAGGGACCCAGTACCAATACAACAGGCTTCCGTTCGGTTACTCCCTCGCACCACGCACGTTTTCAAAATGCGTGGAGACAGCTCTGCAGCCACTACACAGAGCAGGGATGAGAATTCTGTTTTACCTAGACGATCTGCTGTTGTTGACCCGATCCAGGCAGGAAGCAGCGGCACAAACCAAAACGCTGACGTCACACCTGTTGAATCTTGGCTTTGCCATAAACTGGGAGAAGAGCTCAATTCTCCCGGCCCAGATGATCATTTAACTGGGAGTGGAGCTAAACTCTGTCAATATGAGGGCCCATTTATCACAAACGAGAGCTGGAACTCTAAAAGACCAGCTCCGCTACGTAAAACCCGGCAGAGTAGTGACAGCGGTCTCCATCATGAAACTGTTAGGAACAATGTTTTCAGCTCACGCGGTGGTCCCACTGGGCTTACTTCCCATGAGATGTCTCCAGAGATGGTTCACTCTTCTGCACATAGATCCAGTAAGGCAGAAGAGGCGGAGGATTTCTATGCCCCCCTCTGTGGGAACCGACCTGAAACAATGGGGAAACCCTCTCACGCTGTTGGAGGGAGTCCCTGTCAGCAGACCTATGTCACATGTCTCAGTTTCACAGACGCGTCCCTGTCAGGTTGGGAAGGAACGTGCCTGTCACGAGCGGTGGGGGCACTGTGGCCAGCTCACACATCAGCTCACATAAATGTTTTAGAATGTCGCAAGGTTTTGAATGTGATTCAACATTTTGCTCCTGTGTTGCAGAATCAGCACGTTCTGATCCACACAGACAACAAAGTGTCTGCAGCGTACATAAACCGGCAGGGGGGCGTGCGCTCAGCCCAAATGTTACACATTGCGAGACAGCTGCTGTGTTGGACACACAAAAACTTGCTCTCCATCAGAGCAGTGTACATCCCTGGCGTCCTGAACAGAGGAATGGACATAATGTCCAGGGGCAGTCCGTGCCACGGAGACTGGAGTCTCCATCCCGAACTGATTTCTCAGATCTGGGAGAAATTTGGCAGAGCAGAAGTGGACCTATTTGCCACACGGGAGAACGCCCAGTGCCAACTATGGTTCTCACTGAGCCCACGGGACGATCCACCGTTAGGAGTGGATGCGTTTGCCCACAGTCCATGGCCCAAAATGCTCCTTTCCGCTTCCCCCCCAGTCCCTCTAATATCACGGTTTCTGAACCGAGTTCAGGAGGAAGAACTGTCTGCCATTCTGATAGCCCCCGAGCGCGTGAGCGCCCTGTGGTTTCCAATCCTGCAACGCCTGTTATCGGGTCATCCGTGGAAACTGCCGTGGAGGGACGATGCTCTCCCCCAGGCAGGAGGAGCGATCAGGAGCCTCCCAGAAATAGGCCAGCATCTTTGGGTATGGCTGCTGAGCGGATCCGCTTACAGAAGATGGGTCTCTCTCAAGCAGTAGTGCACACAATCCAGGATTCACGCGCTGCCTCCACCACAGCGTTGTACATATCAAAGTGGACAGCTTTTCAACGCTGGTGTACGGAAAAAGGTGTAGAGGCCATTTCATGTCCACTAGGTGGTGTGCTGTCCTTTCTTTGTCCTGTTTACGGAGGAGACCTGGTCCGCTGCCGTTTGGACCTGCGAGCTGCTGGAACCGAGCTGTTTACGTCGGAGACCCGGTCCGCCGCCGATTGGACCTGCGAGCCGCTAAAGCCGAGGAAGCTAGACTACAGCTGTCGGATCGGGGAGCTGTTGTAACCGGGACCTGGTCTGCCACCGTTTGGGCCTGCGAGGTGCTGGACCGAGTGAATCGTGAGACCGCGTGGGACCTGGGGGTTGTTGCCGCTAGGCCTCGGCTAGACCTCACTAGGCCTCGGCTAACAACATAAGCCTGTGAACCTCGTGGCTGGATCCTGTGCTTCTGAGAGTTGAGACCAATAATCCAGAAGTATGGTGAGTAATGCCGAGCAAACACAGAGATAAGAGACAAGTGTCGGAAAATATTTCAGAAGATATGGAGGAAGTTAAAAAATCTTTGAACTTTATGAGTGCTGAACTGACTAAATTGAGTGCTGATGTGACTAAAGTATCAGCTAAATGTGAATTACTGACAGGACTGTTTGAAGAAGTGAGACAATTGAAAGAACTGATGACTAATAAAGACAGAAAAATAGCTGAACTGGAACAGAAAGTAGACGACATGGAACAATACACAAGGCTAGACAACTTGGTGATCACTGGACTGGAAGTTAGGAACCGAACTTATGCAAGAGTTGTTGCTGGTACTAGCACTACAGAAGACGCACCACAGGAAGAACTACAGACTCTGGAGGAGCAAGTAGTGAATTTTTTACAAAACAAAGACATTGACATCGAACATGAGGACATTTCAATCTGTCACACCCTGCCCAGCAAATCTGATAAAGCCAAACCATCCATAGTCATCAAGTTCATTAGCAGGAAATCAAGAAACAATGTAATAATGCAAGCAAAAAAACTGAAGGGAACAAATGTTTACATAAACGAACATCTAACTAAAAAAAATGGAAATATTGCACGTGAAGCAAGGTGGTTGAAAAAACTGAAAAAAATAGCATCAACTTGGACAAGAAATGGAAACATCTGGATCAAAATACAGGAAGGATCTCAGGCTAAAATAATAAAAGACCTGAAAGATCTGGAAAGACTAAAATGAGCTCAGGAGAGGACAGATGATAAATCATTGACATAACTTCACAAACAAGAAATAATCAAAATATAAAACAAACAAATACATTAAAACATGGCAACATACGGAGACTTAGTTTAAAATATACAATGTTGAAGATGTGATCGATACAAATTTTTTCCCTGCAATAAAAGACTGAATATTACAATGAAGAACAGTTTAATGACATCAGTATAACAAATGGAAGTCTCTCTATTATTCACTTTAACAGTAGAAGTTTAAATGCAAATATATCCAAAATAACAGATTATTTAAAACAGCTAAACAGAACCTTTACAATAATAGCACTGTCAGAGACATGGCTCAACGATGAAAACACATCTAATGTTCACATGGAAGGTATGAATTATATCATGTGAACAGAAGCAACAAAAGAGGTGGTGGAGTGGCTCTATTTGTTAAAAATGAAATAAAATGTAAATTAATTAATGAAATGTCAATAATTGTTGATAATATCATGGAAATAATAACTACATCCGCTTTGCCCTTAACCCACAAGCGACAGCCTTAAAGGGCTACGCCTATACTCATAGAATCTGGGGTTACAGTACGTAACCAACGTTTTTATTTGTTTTTCTGTTGACTTGTGTGTAAGAGATCATCTCACACATTAACCACTCACATGTGTCTCCTCCCCTTTTGACTGACACCTTGTCTCAGCCAGTCACCACTGTCCTCCACCTCCACTCACAATATTTTTCTCATCTGTTGTGAGACATTAATGTGTTGATTTTCCTTTTCTGTTTTCTGTTTTTCCTTCCCTTCATTTCATCCTTCCCTACACTCCGCTCCGCCCCACCACTCAGACGAAGAAATTATCACTCCTACACTTACTACCTGTAAGTAACCTGTTTGACCTTTGACCCCTTACCCCAACCCAACACACCTGACAGCCTGAGTGTGTCCTGCTTGCTGTGAGCTGTGCTTCCTGCTGTGTCTGACCCGTCCACACCGTGCCTTCTGACCCCTCCATGAACGAGTCATTCATCCTCACCTGTACTGGCTGACACTTCTCACACATTCACATTTTGCTTTGGGCAGCTCGTGTTTGTGTGCCCTCCATGTTGGGAGGACGTCGGTGTACGTGTTAGATGGGATCACGTCCTGTGCAGCCTGGGTCTCAAACTGCAGGAACAGGATGATGTTTCTGCTGGAATAAGAAGGGAAGTTGAAACTGACCGAGGTGTAAAGGTACATGAACAGTTTCTGGATGAAGGTGTGCGCCTCTGTGATGGAGAGCCACAAGGTGTAACCAGGTATTATCTGACGCCATCCAATATGATCAGCTGTGATCAGCTGTGATCAGCTGTGATTAGATGTGATCAGCAGTGATCAGTTATGATCAAATGTGATCAGCAGTTCTGTTGTAGATAACTTTGTATAACCTCCATCCATTGTCTCTGTGATCAGCTGTGATCAGCTGTGATCATCTGTGATCAACTGTGATAAGCTGTGATCCGATGTGATAAACTGTGATCTACTATGATCTTATATGATCAACTGTAATCAATTGCGATCAGATACAATCAGGTGTGATCAGATATGATCAGCTGTGATCAGCAGTGATCAGATGTGATCAGATGTGATCAGATGTTATCAGCTGTGATCAGATGTGATCAGCAGTGATCAGATGTTATCAGCTGTGGTCAGCTGTGATCAGCAGTGATCAGATGTGATCAGATGTTATCAGATGTTATCAGCTGTGATCAGATGTGATCAGCAGTGATCAGATGTTATCAGATGTGATCAGATGTTATCAGCTGTGGTCAGCTGTGGTCAGCTGTGATCAGCAGTGATCAGATGTTATCAGCTGTGGTCAGCTGTGATCAGCAGTGACCA